ATCATAAATTTTTAATACTTTTTCATTAACAATGAGCATTTATTGTATAGTAAAAAAATAGTTAATATTAATAATAATATAATAATGATAATTTATAGTATTATTTGTATTAACAAAAAATGGGTTTCGGACTTCAATAAGCACTATGTTGTTGTTGTTTTTATTTGTTAAGTTATGGCAACGCAGCACTTAGGCGATCTGCTTACGGGGATGCCTTCGGGAAGGTCTTTTTAAGGGAAACTGCCCCCTATTTAGGCGTTACAGATGTGGAGAAAACCCGGAAAACTTCATGTGGCCAGCTCGTCTGAGCTCCCAGTGTTCAGGGTACGAAGACCGCTTGGCCACTGGTGGGCTGTGCCTTGAAAAATCTAGATCCGCCCCTACTATATCAATTGAAAAAACAATAGCTTGTCAACTTGATCTGAAGAAAGTGATTGACTGATTTGCAAACGAAAAAGCGAGAAAACAATTTTGAAGTTTTTTAATGTATTATGTATTTCTTATAAAACTAAACTTGCTTACATTTTGTCAATACAGTTTATATAATATGTAGTAAATATTATTAGGTACTCAGTACTTAAAAGAATTATGTTTTGTTTTATTATATTTATACTAGCAGATCAACCCAATGTTGCTCGGGCAAAAAGTAACAATAGCAAAGATTAAGATTATTAGATTATAGATTACACTCGTTTCACTGGGTGCAAGAATTAGATCCCCTTTTCCGAGATTAATTAGAGAATTTTTTGACCTATCTAAAACTGCTCGATTTCTCGCAAAAATGCAAAATATCGCATCTAAAATAGTACAGTAGAAGCTAAATTCTTCAGGGTAATCCTTAACCGTCTTCCTCTCCACCCGCGGGGGAAATTTTGAAAAATCCCTTCTTGGTGTGCATTGACATGGCATATCCTAACCCNTTCTGAGGTCTGTCTTATCAGGTAAATTACTGTACACAGTGTATTCATTAATTTTCATTTTCATGTAGTAAAGGCTCTATGCCTTCATAAAGGACGTACTTTTCCTTTGTTTAAGGGTATTTGGGCAGTTTATTCTCTGTTGTATTCTCAAGTAAACAATACATACAAGTACAGTACAGTATTTTCTGAGGAAATACGTATACTTATCCTTTTTTAACGCCATTCCCGATAACTCGGCATTTTCACAAACTCGGCCACCCTTCGGTCCACATTAGGCCGAGTTTTCGAGGCTCTACTATACCGCATTTAAAATAGTATAGTATAAGGTAAGTGCTTCAGGGTAATCCTTAACCATCTTCCTCTTCACCTGTGGGGGAATTTCAAAAAATCCCTTCTTAGTGTGCATTGGCATGTCACACCCTAACTGTGTACCAAATTTCAGCTTTCGACTCCTAACCGTTTGGGCTCTGCACTTATTATTAACAACCCATCTCTATTATATTATAAAATTTATTAAATTGAATATCTTATTGTTGAAATGCCTTGAATATCAAATAAATTGTTATTAAGTTTTAAATCGAAATAGTTAGATATGTTTTTAAATTAAATGTTCAAAATAAATTTTGCGAGACCTCTTCCGAAGAACAAGGGGCGCACCGATTCGACTTGCTTCAGGGCGCTGAATATGTAGCTACGCCACTGGTGCACACCAAAGTTATTTATTGGGCTGCAATTTGAAAAAATTGTAGATCTAAAAATTCCCACTTCGTCCATATGTGTGTCCTTTCTTAATCTGGAGAATGGTGATAGATAGATGGATGGAAGTCAAGACCAGATATGGAAAGCCTAGGGACAGAAGTCTGTAGAAGTTATTTGATTACATGCATTGATTCCTATAGCCTTTTGGAGACCATTTAAATTCATTTCCCTCATCATTTATATAGAGACATTTAAAGAGCAAAAGGAACCATTTTTGACAAGCAGCTCTATCTGGACTCCTTTAAGGAACTATGACGACATATTTGCACAAAACGACGGCTACATGCATTAATATATTTCTATGCGCGTAGAAAACTTTATATTAATGGTAAACTGAAAAATTGTACTGTACAGTACATTCTATTTAGCGTTTCACCTCTTACCGTATGTTGAAATAAATTATGAGTTTGAGTGTTGCGTTGTTGCTCGAATAATATACTGTAAAATGAAAAAAGTTATCAAATTTGTTCCATAATTAAACTGGAAGTAAACTATTAAAAGTGAATCATCATTGGACAAAGTTCTAAGTCTGTTTGCGGACCATCGGTCCCAACATCAACCAGCGATTTGGTTTTTTTTTTTTTTTTTTTAACTCTTTCCACTCTGTGGGCCTCTTTTTAGCAAGCCCATTATGGGTTCAGCCGGGCCCACAGTGGGGAAGCCGGGTGGTGAGGGACGTGAGCTCGACATATCCAAACGGACCACCCCCGAAAAATTCCTGGGGAATTTTCGACCCATCAGGATTCGATCCCGGGTCCCCAAGGCGATAGGCTGCCACCTTGACCGCTCGGCCATATCCGGACATCGAACGATTTGGTTATTTGGGAGACTATCCAATTTGTGAATAGTCTCCTAAATAATCAAGATTCTTTATTTTTCGCTTTTTAGGTAAGTGTAGTTTGTTATTATGTCCCAGGCTCTGAAGAGGAAGACCTTTTCTCCAACCGTTCCGGAAAGATCATCAACTAACAAGTAAGTTAAGGTTGAGAGTCCTACTGGTGGTGGTGATTTTGTACTGTTTGATTTTGAACTCTGTAAGATGATCCAATAATTCGTCAATGTTGCCTTTTAGCAAAGCATGCAATAGCAATAAAAGTTGAACCCCTCACCATGTCAAAATTTGATTCCTGCAGTATAGGCTATAACAGAGGGAAAGTTAGCGGCCAGATCAGTGCTGTGCGATGTCTATAATTTTAACATCGATGTCAAACATCGATGTTTGCCTAAGCATCGATGCTAAATTTCGATGTCGGATTTCACATCGATGTTTGATCGATGCCCATTGGAACATCGATGTTCAATCAAGATAAACTCAAACAATTTAAAAAAAAAAACAAAACCGGGTTTGTTCGAACAGAAGTTCCTGACGCATGCGCAATGTCATTTTACAATGCGAAGAATAACGTGCATGCCGGTTCTAAATCAGTTACAGTTAGGGACTAGGGACTTGCGTAGGAGTAACGTAAGTAACCTAAATTAAGAAAGAACAGGTACAGATAACTTAGCTCTATTTGATACGTGTACGATCGTACATGCAAAAAAAAGTCGACAGGGTTTTTTTTTACTATTTCCGCCCTGTGGGCACTAAGAGGGCCTTTTATAGCAGGCCCATTATGGGTTCGGCCAGGCCCACAATGGGGCGACCGGGTTGTGAGGGACTGGGCCTGACATATCCGAACAGACCACCCCCCGAAAAATTCCTGGGGATTCCTTGACCCGTCCGGATTCGATCCCGGGTCCCCCAGAGCGGTAGGCTGCCACCTTGACCGGTCGGCCATCCGGCCTCAAAGTCGACAGGTTGCGCGCCACAAGTCGGCGTAAACAGACTAACATGGCAGAGTTGCGGATGAGTTTCAATGAGTGTGAGTTCATTCACTGTTAAAATAGTGTAAATTTGTAAACATATTTGCGAGAACTTTGTTTCATCGCAATTTCACAATTTCTACGAAATTCCCGGACTGTCCGGGTGAAAACCGAACAGGTGGTAACACTAGGAACAAAGAATGAACTGCATGCATCGATGAATCAAAATTCACATATTGCTAACATCGATTCAGGATCGATGTTTCAAAAACATCGGAAGTTCGATGCATCGACGAACAAAAACATCGATGTATCGATGCCACATCGATGCATCGCACAGCACTAGGCCAGATGGCCGAGCTGTCAAGGTGGCAGTCTACCGCTCTGGGGAACCCGGGATCGAATCCGGACGGGTCGAAAAATCCCAGGAATTTTTCGGGGGTGGTCCGTTCGGATATGTTGGGCCCGTTCCTCACCACTCGGCAGCCCCACTGTGGGCCTGGCCGAATCAATAATGGGCTTGCTAAAATGACGCCCTCTTAGTGCCGACAAGCCAGAAGGATTTTATAGAAAAAGTACAGGGGGATCGCGGATATACTTTACGTAATTTTTGGGATGGGTAGTGCACCTTTGTGAAACCTTACGTAATGGTATAGATAGTAGTTGCAAAGTATAAGAATGAGTTAAATAATTTATTGACGACCTATATATTGATTCCTAAAGATCCTTATACAGTAATTACTAACGAAAACAAATAAATCCACATTGAAAGTTTGTATCAAATCCCTTTTATTTCATGCATATATTAGAGGCGTGATTGCTAGTTGTAAATATGAGATCAGCACGCATATTCACAAAATCTCGGATATACCACTGACGTGTGTGTAAGTTTACTCAAACAAGCTATTATGAATCATGTTGCATGTATCGGTACCTCGTATTTAGAAAAACAAGTTTATAAATTATTCGATGTAAATATCTTTTGAATATTCGGTCGTTCGTCTTCGAATTAGGTTCGTCAAAAATTTTGGTTTTAAAATAATTACACTTGGATAATTTGTCATAAGACCTATGACAAGTGATAACCATGGAGGTAATAATAGGCGTGGTCGCTGACGGTTAAGCTGGACCGTGTTCAGTAACGCAGAATTCTTGCTAAGTCTAATTATGCTGCGATGTTGAACGCATTTCTAACTACTGCTTGATTCCTCGCACAGCTAGAATTCTAGCTAGTTCAGTCAGCTTCTTTTATCTATGCTAACTTCTACTAGTGACATCATTGTTTCTGTCTCGTACGATTTGCAAGATGGCTGATCGTATTGGACTAAACGTATTTTATTATAACAATCACAGTTATTCTCGCATTCTAAATCATTAACTCATACTAAAATGACTTCGAAACGTAAAATTATCGTACGTCGGTATAAGGGCTGTTACACACTATGACCGACTGGACCGATTGGTCCGACCCGACCGATCCTATAATCGGACCGACTAGCTTCCGTTAAGTCCATTTCGTTGATTACAATTAATAATTGCTTTATTAATTTTATCACGATCTGACGCAGCTTCTATTTGAATAATTTATTGGTTACTTCATTCTTTTCGACCAATTCGTTTGCGACAATTGTTGCGATCATAATTTTAACTTCGTCCACCATTCTGCCCAGTTGTCTAAGAATAATCGTTCAATGATGCTCCGCCCACTAAGCTACTCGGAATTCTAATTTAGGTGTTATGTATTATGAACACGGCTCTGGTTTTAACCTTGACAGCAGGAGCAAACTAGTTTTTCCTCTGTCGAGGTTGACGCCAGCTCAACCGTCGGTGACCACGCTCATTTCATCCAAAAATCATAAGGAATTTTGAGTGTTTAGAAATATTTATAATGCGAAAATTATACAATTATACAAGTTAACTGATCTTAAATTAAACCAGTTTAGATGTTAACAATATCCAAAATTTATAAAATTGTCTGTTAATTTGGATAATTTGATGTTTTCTGTAGAAAAGTTTAATATATTTTCTTATTAGAGATTTAATATACAACAACAACAAAAAAAAAATAAACAATATAACTGTGATAATTTAACATAAAATATACACCTTGTTATAGGGTTACCATAACAGTTAAAGGCCAGTTTTACATCTATCAACAAGAGATTTGTTGAATGATTAAATCTTATATTGTATATTAGATACCAATGAATAATAAAGCAGATTAAATGAATGTAGTAAATTATCTTGGGGATTCCAATATATGCTCATTTAATGAATTTAATTTATTTAATGAAATTAACTTTTTATGTGATAGTTTATATAACTGCAAGTTGTGTCTGCAGGTCTATTAATATTTTTGAGTTGACTTACTGTGCTGTTATATATCTTCTGAAAACAGGCTTGCTGGTTTTGCATATCACATGTCATATGATGGATGTATAAGGAAAAGGTAATCTCATATTAAAGAGTGGTGTATAGGTTGTGTCGACAAATAAAGTGCATTTTGACTTTACTAGAAATCAAAGATGTGAACCGAGATGGTTGGCTGCTAGCTTTACATTTAGATTTTTAGGTTACCTTCTGTTATTCCTACCTCTGTTATAGTAACATTACTTGAACTGTAAATTTGAGTAGGTACGAGCAAGTTTAGAAATTCAATTTGAAAACTGGAGTATATCTTGTATGGTAGTAATCCCATCTGGCTTTATAATGTATTAATTTTAATGCAATACTGTGGTCAATATGGTTGGCACACTGGGAAAAATCTAGAGAAAAGATTATCAGTTGTTGTTACTTTAATTATTAGAGATTTTTAATGATTCTTTACTTTCTAACATTACTATTAATTTCTAAAATGTAAGTATATTTATTGTTGTTATCTGTGTTTTAGATGACTAATTCCTAATTGGTTTGTTATAAGAGGAGTATATAATCATAAGTAAGTGAAAAGTTATATAATTTTAAAAATTTGTCCTATTGATTTTAATTAATTCTCTATTCTTGGGCAAAGACCATCATTGTATTTTCAAATTAGTGCACATAATAATGTATTACATAATTCATTCTTTTTTTTTTTCAAGAAGGCAAAATGTCCATGTTGCAAACTAGTGAATCAGTTAAATTAATTAATTATGGTGGATATGAAAACATTGTGACTGAAATGGTCCCTACAGTTTCTTTGCAAAAAGAGCAACTAAAAATTAAAGTAAAAGCTTGTGGAGTTAATTTTTGTGATACTTTGATTTGGCAAGGAATATATAAACTTAATAATCAGGCATTACCATTGGCCATGGGAATAGAATGTGCAGGAATAGTAGAAGAAGTTGGTGAAGATATTCAAGATTTTCAGGTGAGATAATTAAAAAAAAATATGTTAAATATTTTATTAAAATATAATTTGATTTTTTAGAAAGGAGATAGAGTTATGTGTTGGAGTTTTTTTGGTGGTATGTGGACCGAATCCATTTGTCTTCCTGCTACAAATTGCATTAAAATCCCTGCAGATATGACTTATAAAGAAGCCGCTTCTTTTCCTATTAATTATTTAACTGCTTATTTAGCTGTTATGGAGTTTGGTCATTTAAAACCGGGGCAAGTTATTCTTTTACAGATGGCAGCAGGTAAGCTGTTATAAATTTACATAAAGTTTTTATTGAAATGGAAAACATAACAAATATTTTTATTTTCTTTTAGGGAGCCTCTTACACTGTTAATAATCTTTTTTAATTATTTAAAAAATATAAATAAAATTAATTAAAGTGAAACATTCCTTTGAATGCATTGTTATGAAACATATGAAATGACTTTCCAAAAAGATACTTTCCTTTATAAATATTTCAGTAATTTACAACTCAAAATATTCTTTAAATAAATCTTTTTTATTTATTGATGTTCTAGAAACATTTTCTTATCTATTTGTTTTCAGAAGAAAATTCTTTTTACTGGATGTTTAATAATAAACATTGTCTTCAATGACCTCATGTTTATTTATATTTGGAGAGACTTAAAATATATAGATATAGTTTTATAAAATTAATTTCACCTAACCGAAGATATTAAATGTTTTATTTTGAATTTGTGTAAATACTTTTGCTTGTTACATTCAAACTTCAGAATGTTATGAAACTGGGAATTAAATGTTAAACAATTACAGAATATCTGATTTTCATTTTTCAATTGCTCAATAAAAACATCAATATCAATCAATATATGAATACCATATAAAGCAAATCATGTTGATTGAACAAAAATTCCAATTTCAAACTTTTTCAGATATCTTTGCATAAGCAAGTTAGTCATAAAATTAATTCTCTTCAGCGGTAGGTGTTATATAGACCTAACAATTACTATGGTTATTGAAATATTGAATGTAAATGGGGTTTACTTGCAAAACCTCTGCGGACGAAGTCGCGGGTAACAGCTAGTATATACATATGATCAATAATGTAATATCATGTTAAGCTTTAGTATTTTGTAAGATATATTATATATAATAAATTTTACAAAATACTAAAACTTTAAAACATGGTATTACATTATTGATCATTTGTAAATTCTGCTACTTTACTTATTTTCAAATTACAGGGTGTTCCACATGAAACTAGTTCAGCTTGTCAATTGAGTAAATTACTATAATCATGTTGGAAAAAAGGGAAAGGGAAAAAATTCTTATTCACAAAGCATTATGTAAACTTGCATAAGTTTTATCATTTATTCATTTGGTAAATGGGACTTATATTATGGCCGTGCTGGGCTGAGTATATATGCCCTGTATTTAAATTTCAATACATTATGTGTAAATCAATACTTTATGTTATTATTTAAATTTTGCTATTGTGATTGCATAAATTGGAAATATAAATGTTTTTTATATTTCCATATATTTGAAATATTTTAGATAGAATGATGAATAAAGAATTATACATTGAAAACTAAACAGAAATTTATATACTTATATAGTATATTTTAAGAATTCACTAATGTCAGAGTGATTTGAATACATTTATCAGGCACTTATGTTGAAATTTTCAGTAAGTTCAAAGTAAAAGAAAAAAGGTATTAATGATTATTAATATTAGCAGAGAGCAATATTTTCTTTATTAGAATAAGTAACCTATATGAAAAAATCCAGTAACAAGTTGCTTAACTTTCCCAGCAACATTTAAAATTGCATATGTGATGCCATCTGTTGATATTTTATTAAAGAAATATTTTATATTCTTAATTATTGTAAAATGGCAAAAAGCTTAATTTTGAGGGTAGGGATGGGTTTCATAAAAAATTGTAAATGCTAATAATGAGTACAATTGTCAAGTCTGACCCTACTCGAGATATGACACATGACCCCCTCTATTTCCCCACCTCATCAAAATTTAAAATCATCAATCTCCTTAATACATAAACCTTCCTGCAAAATTTCAGAAATTTTTGACAAAAAGCACAGGAGTTATTAAGTTTCAAAGAGGGTGAACAAAATTTTGCCCCCCAACACACACATCCATATAGACAGAAAAAAACCCAGAATTTTTTTGTATTTCTCAACATTTGAAAGTCCTGAGTCCAAAAAAACTTTGGAGGGTCATTTTTTGACCAAATCCCATACTTTCCCTCTGTTATATATAGCAGAGCCAGGAAAGTAAAAGAAAATTCAAACTAGAAAATAATTCAAAAATATCATGCAAACAACTTTTTCACTTTCCAACACACTTATTTAATGATTGTACAAATGTTTTCAAACTGCTTTGTTCAAACATTAAATAAGTGCTAGAAAGTGAAAAGTTGTTTGCATGATATTTTTAAGTAACCTATATTTTAAATTACCATTTTAAATTTTTATTTAAATTACTTGCAGTTTTGCATTTTGACTAGAAAATATAATTTATCAAAGAAACAGCATATAAAAATAGCACAGTCTTGTTTCTTTATATGATTTACCTTTCTAAGTCTACTACTATCCTTGTAGGCCAATTGCTATCATCACATGCTTAACTGATCTTAACTGATTTATTAAATAAAAACAAAAATAATTTGTGTTTTTCATATATCCATATTTTTACCAGCTAATTAAAACTTATTAACATGCAAAGTTGTATATTGCAGAAATTACATGAGGATTGATTATAAAAATAGACCTTATTTATCAAAATTAGTTTGGAAAGAGGTAGAATGATGTGAATAAAGCAAATAATTATACCTTTCAGTACTTTTCCAGTAGAAATATTCTTGTTGACAGATATTTTTGGCTTTCTTTATAAGCCTTCCACAGGTCTGGCAGTAATTCTCTAGTAGAATGTTCTAAAATGGAATGGAATGCTGGTAGATGCCAAATGTATTAAAGTTCTAAATTTAAAAAAATGGAATAACCATGCTATGTAGTACCGTGTATTTCACACAATGCCAGGATTTGAGAGAATTCTCTGAATGTGATGTATAAAATATCTTTCCTACTTATTTATGGGTTATGGACATCTTGTTGAATTTTCTTTTGCAGTTTCTCAACAACATGTATTTTGTATTACATGATTACTCTAATACTCTCAATACATGTATTTTATATAAAATTTGGTATAGATACCACATTAATTTCTTAAAAGAATTAGTAACATTTAAGGATATCTGCATTATGGTGATTTAATTCTAACACTTCAGAAGCCTTAGTTGAGAATATTTTCACCTTTCTTACAATAAATTTTAACTGTTTTTTTTTTTGTTTACATTGAATTTCCTACAATATGACTCACCAAAAAAAATTCTAATCTATAGTTCTGCATCGTGGTTTATTATGTTTATGCAAAATACAAATTGTTAGACAATATTTTTGTTTTCTCACTTTTTAGGTGGTGTTGGTTGTGCAGTATCACAGTTGGCAAAGACAATAGAAAATGTGACAATAATTGGTATGGCATCATCAGGAAAACATGAAGCAGTTTTAAAAAATGGAGTGTCTCATTGCTTTGATTATGACTGTAATATTGTTACTGAAGTCCAAAAATTATATCCCAAAGGTAGGAAGTTTATTTTATATATAATATTA